AGCAGTGCATATCACCACTGCCCTGTCGTTCCCTAGAAACGTCCCGCTCCCTCCGATGGTACCCGCACCAGCGGTGACAATGTGCGGAAATTATAGGGCATTGATGGAACAGTGGTGGCAGTGGCTCCTATTCGAAAGCCTGGCGGAAGAGCTCCGTCTTGCAGGCCCTGTGGAACTGTACAAGGTCCCGCAGAGCCCAGATCTCCTCTGGGATTATCATTCCAATGACAATCTTGTGAGATAGGTTAGGCTGGCAGACTGTGATGGGTGAGTGTGGCAAGCTTCCATGGCCTCATCTGCTCCAGGTCCTAGTCTGGCTCTCTGACTACTACAGCACACTGGCTCTTTATCCTTAGACACTGTACTGTTTAAAACAAGCTTTCCTAGCATAACCTGGAATATTATCCATCTCTTAAAGTTCTGGTTTGTTTGTTTGTTTTAAATTGTGAAACAGGATGGACCTTTTTATATTCTAGATTTGCATTCTGAACATTTATAAATCTGAGTCTGAACATGTTGTGAAAATATAAATTTCCTAGTGTCTCAGGCTGAATGACCTTCAATTAACTTGGAGGAGGGATGATGTTTGAGGCCTTTTTTTACATCAAATCACGGCTGACTTATGGCAACCCGGTAGGGTTTTCAAGGCAAAAGAAAAACAGAGGTGGTGTGTCATTGCCTGCCACTGCATAGCAACTCTGGACTTCCCTGGTGGTCTCCCATACAAATACTAACCAGGATTGACACTGCTTAACTTCTGAGATCAGATGAGATCGGGCTACCTTGGTCAGGGCATGGAGGAGTTAAAGTAAAGGTAAAGGTTCCCTTGCTTGAAAGCCAGTCGAATCCGACTCTAGGGTTGCGGTCCTCATCTCCGTTTCAAAGCCGAAGAGCCAGCGCTGTCCGAAGACGTTTCCGTGGTCATGTGGCCGGCATGACTAAACACCAAGGCGCACGGAACGTTGTTACCTTCCCAATGAAGTGGTACCTGCAATTTCTTGCTTTCGAACTGCTAGGTTGGCAGGAGCTGGAACTAGAGACGGGAGCTCACTCCGTCTTGCGACACCCGGGTCTCGAACTGCTGAACTACTGACCTTCCACAGCCTGCAGTTCAGCGTCTTAACCACTTGAGCTACTGCAGCTCCATATGGAGGAGTTACCCCTAATATAATGGCAGCCATTGTAGTGTAATGGTCAGAGTGCTGGATTAGGGTCTCAACGGACCAGATTTGAATTCCCACTCTACCATGGGAGCTTGCTGGGTGACCTTGGGCCACTCATACACTCTCAGCCTAACTTCCCGCACAAGGTTGTAGCAAGGATAAAATTGAGGAGTACCGAATGATGGAAGCTGTTTAGGGGTTCTGTTGGGAGGGGGGGAAGTGGGGTATAGGTGCAGTAAATAAATAAAATAAATATATGGTATCTGTTTCATCGAGAACATAATGAGGAGAACTATAAAATGGTCAATGTGCAGGCTGTCCTTCTCCCACACTTTCAAATACAATGTTTTTGTGTTATGCAATGCATAAAAATGGAGAACTTCAAAGACGTGCTATATAGCACTCTGTAATACTGGCCAAAGGCTGCTCTTTGGTAACATGAAGACAAATGAGCTGCCATATCCAATCTACTGCATGGGGTACATATGTGTGTGAGGGGGAGGAACAGTCCAGTTTCTGACTGTCCTCAGCAGCCTACAGCTAATAAAGCAACCTAGCTGGAGCTGAGTTAACTGGGTTTTATCCCAGATGGCATATATGCATGGTGCTGAGCTGCCAGGATGCAGTGTGCAGATTAGTTTCAAAGTGCTTGCATTGCCTTCTTCTCTCTCTGTAAGCCAATCTCTTGGCTACTGAGTTTGGGTCTCTGGTGCGTCTGCTGGTGCATCACTAACCTGCAGAGATCTAAATGAAGGAAAATGTCTATGAATTCAGCTAATGAAGAAGGCAGCTTTAAGCTGCATATCAACTGGAAAACAGATAACGTATTTGCCAAGCAAGGTCTTTGGCTGAGTGTTGGCAGATGTGACTGCCCTTGCCATGTGTGACTTGAATACTCAGTTCAGAATGAGAGATGCCCCAGAAGTTTGATGCATGTTTTCTCTGGGCCTGGATCTGCACATTTTTTACAGCTTCACACTTAAATCCACAGCTGCTTTCAAAGTTAGCAGCAGCAATTGAAGATCATTATAAAGCATAACTCCCCCGGTGGGAAAGTGTTAGCCGACAAACATAAGGTCCGTGCGTAAGCTCAAAAGCCGAAAGAGATCTACGCAAGTGAAGGGCGGGGTATAAATCCAATCTCCTCCTCCTCTTCTTCTACATTACCCCTAGTCCTCTTCATCAGCCCCACCATGCCCAGGCTGGTGAAGAAGAGCACAGCAGTGCCTAGCTTCACACTATGCCAGCTGGGGCATAATATGTCTAGACAGAAGAAGAAGAGGAGGAGGAGGAGGAGGAGGAGGAGGAGGAGGAGATACCCCACCCTTCACTACCCAAGGAAGTCTCAGAGTGGCTTACAACCTCCTTTCCCTCCCCCTCCCCACAACAGACACCCTGTGAGGTAGGTGGGGCTGAGAGAGCTCTTGACAGAAACGGCTCTTTTTCAAAGACAGCTCTTATCAGAACTATGGCTTGCCCAAGGTCATCGATCCAGGTGCAAGTGGAGGAGTGGAGAATCAAATCCGGTTCTCCCAGATTAGAGTCCATGCACTGAACCACTGCACCAAGAGAAGCATGGCAATGCACATCTTTGACTTGCTAACTCATGTGGGGTATGGCTGACAAGACAGAGAACACTGGCACCTCCTTTCTCTTTCACTGACTCTGGGTGTCCGTGAGGCCAGGACATATAGCAGCTGAGGGGGCATGGCCCTTTCCCAGGGCTATCCCCCCCCTTCCAACCTGCCCTGTCCTCTCATGTAGCTTGACTCTGAAATACCAACAGAACAAAGCAACCGATCAGCTTTTTAATTGAATAAAACAGTCCGGTGTTGCTTAACTCAACAAAACATGTAGTTCTGTGACACATTGCAAGCTCCTGCAACTATCCCATAGGAACAATTAGGGTTGCCAGTTCTTACCTGGCTGTTGGGGCCGGCGCTCCTGCCTGGTCCCGCATCACCACATTGGGCACATCATGCAGGGGACGCTCTAGCATCTGGGCAAAAAAACCTCCATGGTCACCATACAGTTTTAACCCAAATGGTAGAGTGTTCCCTGCACGATGTGTCAGGCACAATGGGGCTCTTCGAGGGCAGGGCTCACCCGCCGGCCAGCTGGCTGCCTGCAGATTGAGGCCCCCAAGAGCAGGGGAAACCCTGCCCCCATCGGAGGAATGGCAACCCTACTCATAATACCTTTCATTATCACCTTTACCACTACTGTAGACATTATTGTTCGTAGTCCACTTTGTGGGATGACAGCAAGTATAAACTAGAAACACGAGGAAGAAACAGCACACCAGAAGGCTGTTTTTAAATTAAATAACTTCAACTTCCATGAGACTAACAAAAAATGGTGTAGAGATAAAATGGATGAAGTCATGAGGAGATGACAAACATTTAGGGACGAAATGTTGACGATGCAACTTCTACCATGATACTGCCATTAAGAGTGACTTCAAAATAGCTTTGAAGACAAGTTGAATTGAATATCTGCAGCACAGGTGAAATATACTAGATTTTACTGATTCAAATGACCCGATGACTGATAAAAAGGCCTTACACGACTTCTGCAAGCTTCTCAAACAAAATTTTCACGAATGGTTAACCCCAAAAAGGCAAAAGCTCAACTGCTTTCAGTACAAAAATACTACAAAACAATATACTTTGTAGTAAGTATGTTAGTATACTAGTCCCGTGATCAACTCATGGTTGCGGATTCAAATCCAACCCCATACTAGTTCCACTGATGCAGTTGAGAGACTTCTCCAAGGTCTCTTCAGAGATGGGTAGAAGTGTGTCTGTTTTGCTATTATTATTTTTTAGCCCTTGTACTATGGATACAATCAGAGCTGAATATTTCTGGAGTGGTTGCTGGATGTACAAAGAGTGGTGGAAGCCACAGGGGAGGAAAGTATACCTTTGTGTATTGGAGGGGATATTATAAACACATGCACAGATATTGTTTGAAGAGTCTATGATATTTAATAGCTCCACAGACTTCTTGTAGATACCTGATGTCATGGGGTGGCACCAGGAAAACTCCATAAAAATAAATAGAGAAGTTTTATTTTTGGTAATGATATAATAGTAAACTAAGGCCCCGGTCACATGGGCCAGATAACGCAGGTGGGAGGCGTGGCTGTTTGCCCCGGAGAAAAATAAAGCATGGTAGCCCGATCACATGGTCTCCCGAGTCTTCACGCATTGGCAGTAAGCTCGTGATTACATGCTGGAGCGTGGCAAAGAAGTGGCGCGGCAAGTGTTTTGTGTTTGTGTGCATGCGCAGTTCCGTGGAGTAGCACTGCTTTCAGCTTCGTGTTTGTGCGCATGCGCTTAGGAAAACCATCCAGTTTGCGACGGGACATGGACAGGTGCCGGGAGCCACAGGATACTAGCGCTCCCGTGATCAGACGCCTGCCCCTGCCGTGAGTTTTCCAGATACTACTGCACTTTCCAAGGTATTTTTTTTTTTGCTGTGCATCGTCACTCACATACTCCAGCTGAATGCTGTGCATTTGGATATTTCACCAACCATCCTGTCCTGCAGAGCAATGGCTGTCAGCTGAATAAATTATAGGAAAATGATACCCCACTGAGCGAAAATTGCAACACTATTCAACTGCAGCAATATAATTATTCATGAAATGACATGTATATATCTGGCAATGAATGCAAACTCCAGGGCTGAAAAATAACACCAATCAAATAACTAACAGTGGCTATACTCTTATGAGCTAAGCACGACCACTCACTTGAATTCAGTATTGGGCTCTCAAGCACTCTTAACTGAAATGCAGTGTCACAGTTCCTTTAGCAGGTTATCCATACTTACCATTTTTGGAGAGAATCACAGCCAAATAGTCATGAGTGAAGGAGTTGATATAAAAGAGGAGACTGGGAGCATGTGTGGTCAGGAATGTAAAGGCAATTTTTTCCTTGGCCATAGAGGTATCTGCATAAATGGCAGAGGATGAGGAGCTTGCATTTTTGGTCACAGGATAAGGCTCCTGAAAATTATAAGTAATGGAGGTGCCAGCTTCAAAAACTGCGGAGACCTCTAAAATTCAAAGAAAGAGCAAGATGTGTCATGGAAAGGAACAGGCAGGTTTTTTAAAACAAAGAAAAAAATATTTGTGGTTAACAGTAATAATAATGCATAAATTTGGGAAGTCTGAAATACAAAGACTCACAGATCAAAATGTCTCACCCAGCTTCAAAAGCAGGGGCTGGCCTTCTGTTACTTCATGTCCTGGCCCTGAGCTGTCCTTTTTCTCACCCCCTTTTCTTCTCACATCCCCCCCCCCCAGTTGGTGAGACACTGAAGCTGGGGGTGGCATTTCTTTCCCTGTCTCTTTCTCTCTTTGAATCTTTCCTTCTGTCCCTCCATTCAGGTGCTTGCAGCATTGCAAGAGTTGCATCCTGGGTGTAAGGACTCCTGGAAACCCTACTCCTCAAGGACTCAATCATGAGTTCAATGTACTAACTGGAGTCACGATCTCTAGACGGGTACTTCTTTCCTTGTGTGAAGGATGTTCCAGAGGAAGGGAAGAGGAAAGATAAGTAAGAAAGAGACAGTGTCGTAGCTATTCCCATTATCACTGACCCACCAAGAGGTAATTCTGCTAAAAATGGAGAATCTAGTGATTCACGGAGATGGAAGGATTGTGTGGTCATGGTGCATCACTGTTCTCCCTGGACTTTGGCAGACTTTCCTCCTGTTGTAAACACTTTAAAACACATATGGATTTTCTTTTTAATGTTCTCAAGGAAAGACTGTCAAAAGCAAAAAATAAATCACGGCACACCAAATTGAATCTGTCTATCAATAGTGGGTGGGAGCTCCTCACTAAAAACATAGGAATGTGTGACCACTAGGCTTCATTCTTCAGGTGACTGATTAGCAGCTGCATTTTCAAATATTTAAATGGATATAAAATATCCACTGAAAAATCTCACATCAACTATCCTTCACAAAGTACCCTTTTGCAGGCCTTGCCACGATCTACGCGTTCCCGATTTCAAAGTGGCAATCACTGCGGAATGAAAACCTTTACCAATCCGGCCCCACAGGAGACAGCCAACGGCATGCCTCCTGGGGGCTGCCTTTGCCTCCTGCTTTTGCATGTCCGCATATGTTTATCGCCCTCTAGTGGCGGCTCCACTGTCATTGCGCCTCCGTACTGTTTTAAATGAATCTTCTCCAAACAACTTTCAAACAAGCATAGAGAAAGACGGCATCATAGCAGCACGAAACTGATTTAAAAATGCAAATACAGATTCCACCAAATACCCCAGGCCAATACCGTACTGACTGCAGAGTCACCCCTGAATGGCCATAAAACGGCCATAAATCTATGCAGACAGCCACCATAAAACCAAACGATGGGAAAGCAGCATGCAGTCTGGATGCTGCCATAAAATTCGACACTCAATCAAAGTGAAAGTGGCATGCAATGCAGATGGAAATTTCTATTCCAGTGTGGGTTTGGTAAGACAGTGGAGCAAATGCTAGATGCAGATTTGGCCTATGTGCAACCAACATTTGTTGAGAGATGGCCAAAAGGCCTTTGCAGTCCTAAGGGCAGGTGAAGAACAGGGGAGGAGGCAGGGTGAAACATGCATGCAGAAACTGAGTTGGGGTAAAACAGGCCACAGCTTTTATTGAATACGGCCATTGAAACATTGGTACAGCACAGGGCACAGATCCAGGAATCAGATGACCCACCTGCTGGCTGATGAAACCCTTCCTCAGCCCACTTGCTGGGGGTAGACCCGGAATGTCAAGACTAGTGGTCCCACATGGGTGCAAACCTCTGCATGGTTTCCTTGCAACTTGTGAGTGGAGCCAAGCGACAGCCCCTGAGCTGGGCATGATGCTACCTGCCCCATCCCCAAGAACTCTTAAGGGAGTCCTCCTCACCCAGGGGAGGCGGGCATGCTGGCACAGCCTCCCCCACAAATGAATCCAGCCCAATACCTATAACCATCCAAAGCTGTGACAAGTAAGAAAAAAAATAATAAGAATTACAACTGCACTACAAAACCAGCAACAGAGGGAGGGAGGGATGGCCAAAGCCAAAGCGGGAGCCACATGGCTCAAGGGACTTTTCATCTAAAGCATGTGCTCTCCCCTCCCCATCTTTCTGTGCTCAGGCAACATCTGTTGAAAAATGGCTAAAAGGCAGTCCTCTAAAAACCATTTCCCTCCATTTTTCCCTATCTCATTTTACTCACAATTGCCTGTCTACTGAATATTGATTTCCTAGCCCGCTCTCAAGGTGGATGATAAGATGAATCTGCCTCACAGAGTTGTCCTATTTGAACCTAGAAAATAATTAGAGCTTGATAGAATGTTCTGCCAAAGCCTCAGCTTCAATGAAATATGGGATTTTGAATGTTCCAAATAATTCATGTGTGACCCAGGCCTGAAATTTTAATTTGATGGGAACAGTGGGTACCACTTTTCTTATGTGCTTGGTACTCTGGAAGGTGGTTAATTTATTGTCTTGCCTCTTATTATGAATGTGAGGAAGCTGGATGAGACAAAAAAGCTAGGATTCCTTGCCAAATATCATGGGACATGCTACGTGTGTGCCTTAGTTATCTCCCACAGATATGTACGTGTTTGTGGAGGAGATGTTTTGTGGTACTATCAACCCAGCAGGAAGTAATTATCACAAAATATAATAAGGGCTCTCAACCTAAAACTAGTTCATGTGTCCAAGATATTGGTAAATTCTTCCTGCTGTATACTGCTTCAGGCTGTCACTGGGAAAGTACTATATTTGCATGCTTTTTCAATAAAAAAAATCTTCTTGCAATATGTAAGGAGTTTCATGAGGGAGCATTCAAACAGGGAAGTACAAAATGGTAAACTCAAATCCATGCTTTGTAATTTGCTTCTGCTGAAGATAGACATTTTTCTTTAGATGGATTTGAAATAACAAGACAATAACAGAGAACAGGTCTGCAAATGGTTATTAGTCCTAATTGGTAAGAATGAAACCTCCACGTTCAGAGACAGTATCATTATTATTGTAACACACTGAATACAACCAGTTTAGAATCCAGTGGCATCTTTTAGACCAACAAAGGTTTATTCAAGGTATGAGCTGTTGTGTGCAAGGCACACTTTTTCAAATACATTGGAATGGTAGATGAGGTTCTAAACTTATAGACAGGGATTTAACAGCAAATTAACATGTAACATGATGATATTTAAATTATGCAAAGTGAAAAAGTAAATAACAAGTTAAGGTTATAAGGACTCCAGTTGTAAAGCAATAACTATGTCAAAGTAGCAGATAAATGTTTAAAGGTGTTTTTTTCTAATCATGGGAAGTAACATAATCTTAATTAAGATAGATCAAGGTGGGCAGCTGTGTTTGTCAGAAGCAACAGAACAAATTTAGAGTCCAACGAAGTGTTTGACAAAGTGTGTTCACACGAAAGCTCACACCTTGAATAAAACCTTGTTGGTCTTAAAGGTGGAATCTAACTTTGTTGTAGAATCTTAATTATCTCTTCTCAGGCATGGAAGGCATTTAACAGCATATTTTGAGCTGGATGTAATGTTGTCAGCAGACATCCCAATATTCCTTGCATTCAGTATTCTAATATACTATTCTAAAAAAGAAATCCAAGAAGGACTATAAATCCTTTGTATTTTAGTGTACCCTCTTGGCACTTCATCTGATTATACAGATTTATACCCAATCCTGATCAATCCCATCTTCTTGGTTTATCTAATGTACATATGTCCCTTCCTTAAACCCCCCCTCCCATTTTTTGGAATGGAAATCAATTTCACATTCGGGAGGGGAGACCATTTTCACTTCTCCTACAGTGCCATCCTAAGAATACTTTCTTTAGCGTAAATCCCATTGAATAGACCTGAATGGGATTCTGAGTATACCTGTTTATGATTGTTCTGCTATTCCCCTCTGTTAGATTCAAATTCCAAAAGTCACCCTTGAAATTAATGTATGTGCCTTTTAAGCTATCTGATATCAAATAACTTCTATTTAACTTTTCCAAAATAAAAATTAAATGGGACTTTTTAATCACACAAAATTTGCCAAGAGATTTTCATAATTTGGGATCTATCACAAAAACCAACATTCTTCTATAATGCTGTATAAGCATATCATCCAATTACTTTGCATAACACATTCTGATTATCGTTTGTGGGTGGGTGTGCCCTAAGAATCTGTGGCACGGCCATACCTTTTCTACAGAATGGTCCTTCATATGGAGAATTGGTGCAGTCACACAAGATGCCGTTGTTTTTCTCCACACATTTGCCTCCATTGTGGCAGAGGTTGCTATAACTGCTGCAGTGCCCAGGGCATCCAGGTTTCACACCAGAGGACATTTTAGCTCTTTCTTCCAGGTCAAGTTTCTGCCCATTTAGATGGAGAGCACGGATACATCCCACAAACCCTTTCAGTCTTGAAGCTGTTCCCCCTGGTAGACAAGAAACAAGAAACACTGGAATCTTTTCTTTGACATCTTTACTCACAGGGGACATTTTCTGCAGGAGCGCACAGGAGTAGAGCTCCGGTAGTAAAGAGCCTAGGGGGCGGGCACATGCAACAAGCCCCACCCCCTGCTTCCAGCAGCCCTCAGTCAGAGCAAGAAGCAGCCAGGTAAGATGCAGAGTCCCCCCCCCCCCGCCCCAGGCCCAAAACAGTCCAATGGCACCTTTAAGACCAAGTTTTATTCAGGTACAAGCTCTCCCTCCTCTGTGAGGACAGATCTGCAGATCCTCCCCCCCCCAATAGCTAGCAATCCAAAACAGTCCAGTGAAGCATGAGCAGTGGGTGTTGCCTTCTGACACACTTCTGGTGATGTCAGGGGGTGTGGCATATGCAAATAAGTTATGCTAATGAGCTCCTGCACCTCTTTTTCTACAAAATGACCCCTGTTTACTCAGAATGTGCCATAAGAAGCCTGTTCAGAAATCGTTATATTCCTCAGTGATGCCATTCAAATGGGCATGAACACTTAAGCTAGGGAAGCATAATGTGTACATGTCGTTTTGGCCTTACTTAAGGATCAGTGGAAGGTAGCACAAAGTTATTCTGGAACAGTCAAAGAATGGAAAGGAATAATCTGCTCATACCTATACTAGACGTCTAAAAGAAACCTACGCCCAATCTGCATCTAGCTTTTGCTCTGCTGTTTTACCAAACCCACACGGGAACAGAAAAAGATGCGGCTCAAAACCACATTCAATTACCCCAGGCCAATGCTGTACTGACTGCAAAGTCACCCCCGAGTGGCCATAAAACGGCCATAAATCTATGCAGATGGCTACCATAAAACTGAGAGATGAAAGAAGTGTAAGCGGCATGCAGTCTGGACACTGCCATAAAATCCGACAATCAAAGTGAAAGTGGCATGCAATGTAGAGGGGAATTTCTGTTCCAGGGTGGGTTTGGTAAGACAGTGGAGCAAATGCTAGATGCAGATTGGGCGTAGGTTTCTTTTACACATCTAGTATAGGTATGAGCAGATTATTCCTTTCCATTCTTTGACTGTTCCAGAATATCTTTGTGCTACCTTCCACTGATCCTTAATTTTGGCTTAACTATGGACATTGTGAAAAGTAATTCCAGAACTTGATCATGTACAGTTTGACACAGCATTCAGTTTTTTCCATTCATATTCATACACATATGACACAACACTCCTATAACCAAGCAGTATTTAGCAGATCCTTGTAGCACCTGAGAAATGTAGCCTGGGAAGCTTGAAATACCTGCAAGAAGAACTAACCACATGCATTCATCTTTCCAGGCTATGTTTTCTTGTACTGGGATTGTCTTCCGTTCATTAAGGCATAACTGGGGGAGAAGATCCCACTCAAGGGGAGAGGATAGCATACTTTGCTATTACTAGGTTCCAAGTGCAGTTTTTGCCATATTGAATTAAAGTTGATCAATTTAGGAAAGACTTTAGCCTTAGACCTTGCATGATTGCTTATATCTGTGCAAGTCAGTGACATTAGCATTTGCATTCTGCAAGCACACATGTGTAACCTGTGCAGTTTTGTAGTTGTTAGCAACATACAGGGATCAGGCGTGCTTGCACTTGCCAATAGGTGGTGTGGCAATGAATCCCCTCCCCTCTCCTATACGCAGTTAATGGAGCATGCTCAAGGTGTGTAGCTTCCCCTGAAGTTAGGGTTCCCCTTGCCCATCCACCGTGGGCAGCTTCGCTGGGAGCCTGAGACTGGGAGGTAAACTGAGTTAGTGTGCACTCACCCACACCGTCTTAGCATCTAGCACACACATTTTTGGCTTAGCGCACGGTGACTCCTATTGGCGGTGGCCCCAGAGCTTCCCCTCAGCCGCCACCATGGTGGGCAAGTAGGATCCGCTCCCCCTTGGCAGCGCCTGGCTGAGCCCGCCCACAGCCTTCCTTAATCCTGGGGAGCAACCGTGGCACTGGGGAGGCCATGGGCTTCCTGCCCCTGCCCCAGTCTTGCCTCCTCACGGGCAAGCTCAGACAGGGCCACGCAGTGCCGCTGTCCTCAAAAAGCAGCACAGCGGTAGCAAGAGGCACTCCTGCAGGGCAGCACAGGCCAGCTGGCAGCTCTGGGTGGACTGAGGGAGGGAAGGAGGCAGTGTGGCTGTTCCCGCAACACTATGGTCTGCTTCCTGTGGCCAGGGTGCATGATGGGCAACTTCCGCACTGACATTTTTGTCACTCGTTTGTTCTCATCAGGGCTTTTTTTGTAGAAAAAGCCCAGCAGGAACTCATTAGCATAATAGGCCCCACCCCACGCCTTTCCTTGGCTTGCCCGGGTGCCCTGTGGCTGTGGAAAGCCTGGGCAAGCTAGCCCTTGGACAGGCCGAGGGAAGGCACAGGGAGGCATTTAAATGCCTCCCTGATCCTTTCAGCGGCCTGTCCAAGGGCTAGCTTCCCCGCCTCAGAGTTGCCGGGGGGTCGCTCTCCAGGCCTCCCCTCTGTAGCTACGCACACAGAGGTTTTGGCTGTAGTGGGCATGGCCAACTCTGAAGCCAGCCGGAACTCCGTTCCTGTGCGTTCCTGCCCCAAAATAGCCCTGGTCCCTGTTGCTTCAGGGCCCGCCCCCCCAAAATGTGTTTTTCTTTCTCTAGTAGTCCCAGAGGGAGCAAAACACATGTGGAAAGAGGGGGGGCAAAGCCATAAGGACAAACGAGTGACAAAAATTACAGTGTGAAAGTGGAGATGGGCTGGGCCGGCCCTGTCGCTTGCTTGTGAGGAGGCGCTCCCTTGGGGCACCCCGGAAATGTGTGGATCTCTGTGCTGGGCATGTCTGGGGTGTGTGTATGGGGGGGGGGTCTCTGTCCTTGGCCCCTCCTCTCCCATCTCTTATCAGCAATAGATCTTTCCTCCTCCCTCTGCAGATTATCTTATCAGCAATAGATCTTTCCTCCTCCCTCTGCAGATTATCCCAAAGTAAATACAAAGACCATTTTGCAAAGATATGGCAGCAGGGAGGCAGGGGGAAATGAAGGCAGGAAAGCCAGTAAGGTTTTTTTTTTTTTTTTGGCATTTATGCATTGGGGATTTGGGGGGGGCATAAAACCTGCAGCAGTGTCAAAGCCCAGCTCCATGTCCAGCGCCTCGCCCGCCCCCCTCCATGCCCAGCATCTTCAGCCTGCAATTGGCGATTTAGCACTCTCTCTCTCTCTTACAAGGGGGGTGGGGAAGAGAGGGAGGGTCGGCCCAGGGAAGAAAAACATGGACTCTTCATTCCTAGAAGGGGAAGGAGTTTCATGGTACTTTCCCTGTTCATTGCAAGTAGCCTGGCATTTTCTTACAGGAAGTGGTGCAGCCCCCCCCCCCCCGCAAAAAAATATATTGGTGAGTTATAAATACATTTGGCTGCAGGGGAAATGTAATGGAAGGATGGGGGGTAGTGCAGGGCAAAGGCAAACTGGGAGGTGAATTCAAAAAGAAGATCGGGTTTGCGTGAGTTCCCACCCCCGCACCTCTTTTTATAATGGGGATGGGGTGCGACCCCATGGTGCGCCCTTCTCCATTCTTGGAGCATGGAGAGCGCTGAACAAAAAGGGCACCCCATAAGGAGAGCATTACAGAAATCCCGCCTGGATGTGGGTTCTTGGGCAGCCCACTCTAAAAGCTCCTCCCCCGGTTATTTAAGGAGCAAGCTGCCCCCATATTGCCCACCCACCCCTCGAATGAAACACATACCCAAGTCATGGGTTAAACTGGGAATTTATTTATGCATAAGCTGATCTGCCTCAATTATATCAATTAAGCACAGGTTGCCCTGTGCCTGCAAAGCAGGCTTCCTTAGGGCAAACCCACCCAGGCTCAGAGCCAGGTCCAGAATCCTTCCGTACCTGCTCGTCACGGCCCACACGTCAAATGTATAGAGGAGATATGGGAACAAATTCCAGCTCCTCTCTGCTAAGCCTTAGGGCTTGTCATATGCTCCCCCCAACCCTGAAGAGGCCCCCCTCCGGGTCTCCCGGACTGCTAAGCCACTAGGTACCAGTTTGAGGATTCCTTCTATCGTTGATATCTCAGGGTGCTTGCCAACATGAATAAACCCCCTTAACTCGTGCTCTCTTGCCTTCCCAGAAAGGGCCTAACCAGGTTACCAGGCCTATTTATGCTGTGTCCTCCTGGACCATGTGAAGCAGGAGAAAAAAGCCCCTCCCCCCCGGCCAATCAGGGGGAGCCCAAAAAATTCCTGCTCAGCCCCACACCCGGCGACTGGCTAATTCAATCATTCCTATTCTACTAAGACTACAGACAAATAAATTGGCTGATGTAAGCTAAAAAGTTATATGATATGCAAATGTTTTTTGAATTAATGTTAGTACCAATTCTAATTCCACCGTGTTTATGGTATTGCTGCGATGTTCTTTCATTGTTATATGTTTTATGTTACATTTTGAAAATAAAATAAAATTTAACAAAATTTTTTAAAAGGAAATTACGTATATACACACAAATATTCACACATTTCCAATTAAGTAGAAGAGAGAAAGGAAAGGGGAAGGAGAAAAGGTTTCGTAAATGGCTTCCATCATGGGAGTTTCAGTTTTTTCCACCATCACCACTGCAAGCTAGAAATCCATCATCTTGTGTCAGAAAGCAGCCAAGTTGACACCAATTAATTTCAGTGCAAATACCCAAGAAAATGAGTAATCAGACTTGTCTTTAGGCTGTTAAGCACCCTTTGCCAGGAACAGTAGGGCAACCTTTACTTCCTCCTCATAAATTTAATTTGCTGCAATCAAACTCTGTAAAACATCAATAAACCCCTGCAGGTTATCCCTACCTACAAATAATTGATTGTTGAGCTGTAATCGGAAATGTCCTTCAGGTGGTGCCTCCAGGATCTTCTTTGGAAGGTTGTCCACTTGTAGAGATGTTTCCTTGAGATTCCTCTCGGCATGTAAATAATGCCACCGGTTGTCATTCAGGGGCACTGGGGACTGGACCATGACTTCTACCGGGCCATTACCAACATCTATGGTGAAGGTGATCTCTGTAAGAGCTAGGAAAAAAGGGGAGAAATAGGGGTATCTCAGGTTGATATCATATAAAGTCATATATACAATGAGACCATTATCTTTTTTTCCTAGTAAATAATGAAATGGTTCATGTCACTTCCTGTCTCCCATTTAGTATTGTAACAAATTAGATCCACTGGTGAAATATTTGCATTCTCTGAATTTTAAGATGCTGTATCTATCTTTGGATGTAATGAAATGGCTCTTTTCAATTCCTATGAATAGGCAAATTTGGAGGTGATTGAGGGATGCCAGGAAGAAGGGGAATTCTTAAAGAGACTTGGAAGTCCAAGAATGATGGCGATGGGCTCTGTGAAGGGGCAGGTGAGGAAGCTGCTGCTGGAGTCTTACAGAGACTGGGACGTCCAGAAAGGAAGGCACTGAGCTCTGAGAAGGGGCAGGTGAGGGAGCTGCTGCTGGAGTAGTGAGTGTGTTATTATTTATCTTTCCTTAGCTGCTGAGGAAAAGTAGCTGAGGTTACTGTGTGGGAGGACAGTGTTTGAGGGTGTGTGGGTGTGTATAGCCTGCTGGAAAGTGGTGCTTGTTTGAGGAAGTGTGGTTTCTGTCTATTTTGCCTGGGTGTAACTGATTGCAACTTTTAGCAGTTTTGCCTGGGGCTAACTGCTGGCCCTGTCCTCTGCTGGGTGAGCCTTTAATTATATAAGGCTCCTCCTTGCCAGAGGTGCAAGCTGAAGGACGAGACCTAAAGGGCTCTTGTCCTGTGGCTCTTAGCCTGGGGATCCGGCCTGGAGACCCCAGAAATAGTTAATAAAATTGTAAATTGTTGTGCTTGTTTCCCCTTTTGGCTCAGGTAGCCACTTGGTCAGTTCTCTAACTTTCAGGGTACATCAGCATACCGAGGTATTTCTAGGTAAAAGAATCCACTTGGGGAAGTGATGATGAATGCTCACAGACGATTTACAGTCACCTGTGGAGAGTGTGCCATGTCTGTCTTCCTCCCTGAGGACAAGATGGACTACACTTGTCAGAGGAGTAAGTTGATTGGACTCTTAGAGGAGAAGGTTCAGAGCCTGGAGGAAAGGATTACGACTTTCCATGACATCAAGGAAGGGGAGGAGTTAATTAACAAAAGCATTAATGTCCTGCATAGGGAAGGAGAGACCAGTCAAAGTGACAACAGTGTGGCTGACTGCCCTAACAAGACTCCTCAGAGTGCTACAGCAGGACTCCAAAGGTGTTGAGCAAGATGGCACACCATGACATTAGAACTAAGGAATCAACTCCACGCCTTTGCGGTGGAGGCAGAGATGGAAACACTGCCACTGGAAATACCACAAACACAAGGGATACAGAGGGAGAAGGAGAGGGAGATACAAAGAAATGCCCCTGGAAGGAAAAGGAAAGTGTTAGTCATAGGTAACTCCCTGCTAAGGGGTATGGAATGTCATGTGTCCAGGCCTGACCCCCTGGCCCAAGAGGTGTGTTTTTTGTCAGGGATTAAAATTACAGAGAGGATCCCTAAACTCATCAAACCTACAGAGCATTACCCATTTGTGATGGTCCATGTGGGAACTAACAACATGTCTGTGAACACCATCAACATTAAGGCTGACTATGAAGCTCTTGGAAGGAAGTCAAAGGGAATGGGAGCACAGTTGGTGTTCTCTTCAATCCTTCCTATCATAGGAAGGGGAATACAACAGAAACAGAGAGGATAATGGAAGTGAACCACTGGCTGCTTTGGTGGTGCCGGCAGGAGCGATTTGGGTTCTGGGACCATGGGCTAGGTTTTCTGGACAACAGCCTACTAGCACATGAGGGACTTCACCTGTAAAGGTCGGGAAGAGTGTGTTTGGCAGAAACCTGGAGAGGTTTATAACCGCACTCAGAGAGTAGCTGTCAATGGCACTTCATCTGAATGGAGAGAGGTGTCCAGTGGGGTGCCACAGGTCTTGGTTCTGGGCCCGGTACTTTTCAATATTTTTTATAAATGATCTGGATGAGGGTGCGGAGGGGCTACTCATTACATTTGCAGATAACACTAAATTGGGAGGAGTAGCAAAAGATAGAGATAGAATTAAACAAGATCTGAACGGATATGAACAAGATGCAATTTAACAAGGATAAGTACTGAGTTCTATATCTGTGTAACAAAAATGAGGAATATGCATACTGGATGGGGAATACACTACTGAATAGCAATGTATATGAACAAGAGCTTGGGGGTAAGGGTGGACTGAAAGTTAAATATGAGCAGCCAGTGTGATGTAACAACAGAAAAGGCCAATGCAATCCTGGGAAGAATCAACAGAGACATAACATCCAAAACGCAAGATGTCATAGTTCTGCTGTACACTGCATTGGTCAGGCTGCACCTGGAGTATTGTGTGCAGTTCTGGAGGATCACTTCAAAAAGGATGTGGACAGAATGGAACTTGTGCAGAGGAAAGTGACAAGGATGATCAGGGGCATGGAGACCAAGCCCTATGAGGAAAAGCTGAGGGACTTGGGAATGTTAAGTCTGGAGAAGAGGAGGTTGAGGGGGGACATGATTGCTCTCTTTAAGTATCTGAAGGGCTGTCCCTTAGAGGAGGGTATGGAGCTGTTCCTTTTGATAGCAAAATATAGGACTTGTAATAATGGGTTTTGTTGCTAGTTCTTTTGAAAAGGTAAAATTTCAGAACTAATGTTCATGAATAAAATTTTATATAAATTAGAAATGAGAATTTTGATTTTTTTTCCATATCCATTAGAATATGCTCCTGACCCTTGCCCCAGCTCCTGCCAACCCAGCAGCCCAAAAGCCCCTCGGGGCAATTAGGTAAATTTGTACCTGTCCGTAGGAGGACAGGGGGGTACCCCTCCCTCGAAATTGGGCTACAGCCGAGTGAGAAATCGAGAAGTGGCAGCAGCACGGAGGAGATTAAGAGAGGCAGTGACATCCCAAGGACGCGGTTGGCTTGGCAGCTGATGACGTGGCCAGCAAGAGGACGTCTGGAGTCGCAAGGACGTTGTGACGCCCACCGCGGCTGCGCACCTGGGCCCATAGCCAACAGCCCCAAGAGGAGTCGCCAGAGTGCTGAAAAGAACAGTGGAGACCACGGAAGCCACACTGGAGAGAACTGGAAGAAGTCGCCCACTCGCCAGATAAACAAACGATCGGAGTCGGGAGGGTACCTGGTAGGGTTCCCCCCACCCCAGACATACTGTGGCCATAGTTCGGGTTTCTGCATAGGTCTCTGCACCATGCACCGTGTTAGCCACTCAGAGCCCTTCGGGGGTGAGCGGGGTACAAATTGAAAGTATAAATACAAATAAATAAATAAATAAGAAGATGTTCAAATTCTGAGAGAGGTCATGATAAAGCAATTTTTACTCGAGGTGAGAATAATGCTTGTTTTAATAACAAAGCTACTTGATCGTAGTACCTCGTTTCCTTTCTAAATGGGATTTTTCAAGTATATTTTTTAAATCAGTTAAATCTCTTGAAACTTTGATACCTTTCCACTGTCATACGTATTACCATCATAATGAGAGAGCCCTGGAGGAAACTAGCTGGTTCATCACTGCCAAAACGGGAGAAATATTTGGTATAAGAATTTGTCTATGTTTTTTTTTTCTATTTATGGAGTGGATTTGGCTAAGGTTGAAAATTTTCATTCTCAATCCCAGAAAACGTTTTGTATGGGAATTGAAAAAGTATAACAGTTTTCAATTTGTAGCCATGATTATTTTAGATCACCTGTTAAGATCTTTGTTATTTTGGCAAATATTTTGGCTTCTAAGTATAATTTGAGGTTCAGCCAATGGAGTCCTCCTCTCTCTCTGGGTCTATAAAATAAATTATGTTGAAACCTTATTTTTTATGTGCCCACATGAATTTATTAATTTCAGATTGCCATTTGTTGATTTTGTGTGACTGGAATAGGTAGGGCCTGAAATAAAAACTATCAGACCAAGAAAAACTCATTGTATGCCAATTTTTAAGTTGAACCTGAATCTTTTTTGAACAGAAAGTAACATTGTATGTATATAATTTAGAAAATGCAAAGGGGATATATACCCCTAAATGACACCAATTTTAGTAATTCAATTAAAAGTAGAGTTATTTTTAAGCATAGTTTCAGTAATCATACTGAGGCTAATTGCACAGAGGTCAGATTTGGCTTGGTTGATATGTAAGCACAAAATGCAGACAAATTCTACTAAAGCAGATTGGAATGCACACAGAGATGAGATTGGATTTTTTTTTGGTATAAACCCATGTCATCTGCGTACAACCCAATTTGTTGGATCCCCAAGCATCGAGAATAAATCCACGTTTTCAAGAAAAGCAAAATTTATTTCAAAGCGTTGAAGATATACTCAAACACGTTCTTTGTTAGAACTGGGGATACACAGTTAGGTCAAGCATAATAAAGGAAATTCAAACAGATACAGATCCAATGAATAGCATTCCCGCTGGCGGGCTAATGAAACGGTTGCGCGCCCAGTCCATGGGAACCAGGCAGAACATCAGACAAAACACAGGTGCAGTTCTCATGAGAAAAGCAATAGGCAAGCATTACAGCATCTTCTCCCCCACACAACCTCCAGCAGTTATCTTATGCATTCCAACGCAGGAGCAGGATGATAGAAAATAAGCCGGGTGCAACAGGGAAAGAATATGTACACAGAGGTCACAGAAAACAGAATGGCAGCTCGCTGACATACTGCCCCCCTTAAAAAACATCTTAAAACACACCTCCCGGGCCGGGCGGGAGATCTCCCGGGCTGGGCGGGAGACCTCCCGGTTTGTCCGGGAACCTCTCGTGGAAACTACGGATCAGGTAAGGGGCCCGAATATCCCCTTCTTCCACCAATTCGCGGTGCTGGGGACCGAAATCAACCCATTCAATAAGGTACCAGAGTTTACCACGTTTCATTTTACAATCAAGGATATCAGCGACCTCAAAATGTTCACTACCCTCCAAAATGACAGGCGGAGGAGGAGTAACCGATGGTCTCCAGGGAGACGGACCAG